CGTTGGGATCTTGCGTTAAAGACAGGTGTACTTATAAATAACATATACATTGGGATCTTGCGTTAAAGACAGGTGTACAGATAAATAACAGAAAAATTGAGATCTTGTGTTAAGGACAGGTGTACTGATAAATAACAGATACATTGGGATCTTGTGTTAAAGACAGGTGTACAGATAAATAACAGAAAAATTGAGATCTTGTGTTAAGGACAGGTGTACTGATAAATAACAGATACATTGGGATCTTGTGTTAAAGACAGGTGTACAGATAAATAACAGAAAAATTGAGATCTTGTGTTAAGGACAGGTGTACTGATAAATAACAGATACATTGGGATCTTGTGTTAAAGACAGGTGTACTGATAAATAACTGAAACATTGGGATCTTGTGTTAAGGACAGGTGTACTGATAACTATCAGAAACATTGGGATATTGTGTTAAGGACAGATAAACACATAAACACTTAATAAAAAGTGTCTTGTACTTCAAATTAAGAAAATGTGTAAGCCTTAGCTGTTATTTAAAAATAAGAATGAATTCAATCAGTGTCTACGCATGCTTTGTGATTGTTTTCAGTTTCCTTTTTAGGCTACCCACCGCTAAGTATGGTAAAACAGGAGACCATTGTACACTAGGTTGTTACAATTGTGTTCACATCATAATGAAAGTAACAGGAGACCATAAGGCACTAGGTTATTACAATTTTCACATCATAATGAGAGTAACAGGAGACCATAGTACACTAGGTTGTTACACTTGTGTTTACATCATAATGAGAGTAATAGGAGACCATAGTACACTAGGTTGTTACACTTGTGTTGACATCATAATGAGAGTAATAGGAGACCATAGTACACTAGGTTGTTACACTTGTGTTGACATCATAATGAGAGTAATAGGAGACCATAGTACACTAGGTTGTTACACTTGTGTTCATACCTTAGAGGTTCTGAGAAAGAACATCATTTATCATAAAAGAAGAATACATTTTATAAACTATGAATTAAAAGCAAATTGAATTATTTTCAAAATTGCCATTTTAACAAAAATTTCATAATGGAGGTAGAAGCCAATGGGAGTACCTTGGAAACTTCAAACAATATCCTTTTTTATTATTATCCTGGTGTCCATAATTGGATATTGTGAATCGGGTTTTTCTTCAGCCATAAAATCCATATTTTAACGCCTATTATTTAAAACATCCCCAACCATTTTCATATGTTTATTCTTTAAACAAAATAAAAAATGACGATGTTATGTTACTTGTATTTTCCTCATTTAGCAGTATATAGAAATAGCTTAAACAAGAAATTGAAAAGATTATAAGTGTATCTACAGATTAAATCAAAACTTGTTTTAAAACCATGGATTTGAAATATCCTTAATGTGAAAGGTAAAATTCATACTTAAACATTTCTTTCCTCGCTGTAATAAAGGCTGTGGTGGTCTAACTATAAGATCACTGAAAACTCGTATATTGAAACACAGCAATAATACAATCGAATTAAGATCCAATAATATTGTTTACTATAGACAGCGACATTCTGATATTTAATAGTCACCTCATAGACAATGCTAATGATATACAACTTTTAATAAGTCCAAGTTTCCAGTGAAACAGTCTTTATTGTTGAATCATAGACATGTAACAGTATAACAAAGCTTAGGTTTAACTTTTATTGATTTTACAACATAACCTTTATGATATCTGAATATTTTCTACAAGTGCTAATTCCAACTGCTCACAATCAGAATGCTGAAACTAGGGTCCAGGATATTATAGTTTGATATTACTTTAAATAGAAGAAAAGTAAGATTAATACAATTAACTCGAATAATGCACAGATATAGTTATTTCAGGGATTAACTTATCATATAAAAATAATTAACACCAACACTCGTAGATAACTTCAGTTGAACCACAAAATCAAAATTGTCTGCATTTTTCCCTCAAGAAAAAATAAAGTAACATATTTATATTCTTACGACACGTTTTGCAGAGTTCTCCTCAGTTCTTTGCCCATGTTGTGTATATAGTCCCATTGGGCTTTGGTCGCTGGAGCAACCACATTATCCGCTGTCATCTGGGCTTCATCAAACAGCCACTGGAACACGAATACTGGTGCTGGATGAATATAACGAATTATCAGATATCATTTTATAGTTTATCTATTTTCTTTTTTATTATTGTTGTTCTTACGCAGGGCCGGACTGGGGGGGGGGGGTAAGAGGCGAAATCGAAGGGACCCCGACGAAGAAAAAACAGTGAAAAACTATATGCCTCATGAACAGTGAAAAACTGTATGCCTCATGAACAGTGAAAAACTGTATGCCTCATGAACAGTGAAAAATTATATGCCTCATGAACAGTGAAAAACTGTATGCCTCATGAACAGTGAAAAACTGTATGCCTCATGAACAGTGAAAAACTGTATGCCTCATGAAAATAATCTGTTGGAAAATGTGTCTCTTTGAAAAAAAGTGAGTTTAGTCGTTTCATATAAATCTATTATTTTATAATTCTTCATTAACATGTTCTTACAACTTGTTCTTTTCATAAATACTTGCGTGGCTATGAAACAACTAACTTCTTTGTCATTACTTTAACAAATATTAGAAATTATGACTTTTCAATATTATTTACCCATCGCTTTTCTTTGTAATTAATAAATAGTGTTGAGTTATATTCGATTTATTAATGAACTTCAATAACGAGGCCCCCCTACAAAATTTAACCCCTCAAGACCTTAATCCGGACCTGCCCTTAAGTATTTGATAAACTTCTGTCTACCATCAAAAAATAACCGCTTTTTCATATATAGTTGTTTCCAAGTACTTGATAAAATACTCATAAGAGACTATTTAAATACATTTTACCAACTTATGGAGAAAACAGAACTGGTAATGCGTAGTTCACGTAGTTGGATATCTATATCCAAAATTAGTAATACGTAGTTCACTTAGTTGGATATCTATATTCAAAATTAGTTATGCGTAGTTCACTTAGTTGGATATCTATCCATTGAGGTCTTAGAATCGAAAAGTCTGACCTACTTTTTAGAGTCCGGTAGATTCTATAACCAAAATAACACCTCCAGTGTTCTTCAGGATCGTAATCAGCCTTACATCGTTCTGGAACTTGGCCATTCCACAGTCTAGGAAGAACAGAAAAGAAGATCTAACATGAGAACAAAGTATAGATATATCAATTGACGTGAAATTCCTATCTTTGTTGTGTTAATACAGACTCTTCTCGATGTTTTCGTCTGAACGAATTATCAATGAAAGGTATTTCAACTTTTCTTCCCTATTGCATAAAAGAGGACGAAGTTTTTATTAATAAGTAAGATATTCAAGATAGAACACTGATATAATCCTGAAAATATTTTTTTTTGGATATGACACGATAATATCTAGGAAGTTACAGTTTAATATTGTTTAGAAGATAGTCATGATATCTTTTGTTTTTGTCAAATTGTTGAAGCCACAAATATATTCATTTATAAATAATAACAATTTAATTGTGGAAAATCTACCCATAAGCTAAACATACTGAAATAAATGATTGTAGAGAATAAAATATTTGTATACAAGGTAACCTGTAACTTTTGTATGATTATTAATACCTCAGTAACTTGCAACAATATCGGCCCACTAGATACCTAAATTTATATTATTTTGTAGCTTGAGTAAAACAGAACGATTTTATCGGAGTAAAGAAAGATGTATAGTTACTTGAAAAAAGACAAGACGATGTATTATCCAAAGTATTAAATCCACCTCTACTATGATTCTGTATGTCATGTTTTTATTTGATTTTTTGAGCAGCTGTTGGCTTGACTAAATTCTAAATTTCAGTTCCGCAATATAATTGATGTTGTTGAAGAAGTATGAATGAAAGTATACGTTGTAGAAAATGTTAATACAGCGGAATTTATGGTCTCATCCAATCCCCCTTTTTTAATATCCTCAAATGAAGAATATGTGTGTAAAATGTTGGTACGACAGCATTTGTGGTCTAACCTAATGCCCTGATTAATATCGAAGAACATGGGTCATAAATGTTGGCACTACAGCATTTATAGTCTAACTTAATACCTTGTTTAATATTCTCAAACGAACAACATGCATATGCATTGTTGGTGCACTTAATACTCTAAACTCAAGAACATGTGTGATAAGTGTTGACATAACAACATTTACAGTATGGCCTAAGGCACTATTTAATTTCATCAAATGAAGAACGTGTATATAAAATATTGGTACGGTACAATTTCCTGCCCCACTATTGCCCTGTTTAATATCCTCAAATTATTCTTCGTTTGAAGATACTAAACAGGGTATTCAACTAGACAATAAATTCTGATGTACCAACAATGCCCATATATCTGCTTCAAGTGAGGATATTGAATGTGGCATTGTGTGAGAAACCTAAATGCTGTGGTACTAGCGTTTCAAATACATGTTCTTTTATATATATATATATGAGATGTTGGTACCTCAAAACTTGTAGTCTCATCTAGTGCCCTGTTTAATATCCTCACATCAAGAACATGTATGTGAAACGCTAGTACCACAGCATTTGAGGTCTCACCTAAATGGAGAACATGCATGTATAATGTTAATACAGCAGAATTTCAATAAACACCACGACACAAACTTGTCACCCATTGTCACAAGAAATGTCCTCGTTTTCATACACGACTGTTCATTTATTGAAAATCGAAATGGTGTATTTAAGTGTTTTACACAAAAAATAAACCCATCATTCTAGTCTGGCTGAAGACACACACCCAATGAAAGAATAGACCGTTCCAAGCTTTTACTTGTTGTTAAACAACTCTATTCAATTATGTACTAGCTGCCCACTGTCGGATAACAATACGAAGAATTAAATTGTGGCGAAATGCTACAAGTTCTTCAAATACCTATACTTTTCTGTGAGTGTAAAATGCTTAAATACACCATTTCGATTCTCCATACCTCACTACTATAAAGGCTTGGTTTGGTGTGTTATTTTTGTTGGTGGTAGTGTTTAGGATTATTAAGGAGGAGTGGAATTCTCCGAAACTAGTTTGGCTCAAAATATACCCCCAATGAAAGAATAGACCATTCGAGTCATTTACTTGTTGTTAAACAAATGTTTAAACATCTCTATTCAAATATAATAAAGATGTTAAATAGGAATTAAATTATTTAAATTATATAACGATTGATAGAGGGTATAAACGTAATATCATAGTTAGAATTTATAGCAAATATTGTAATAAATTACAAATATTTGAGTGTACTAAGTTACAAACAACCAAAAAGAAAAGTAGAGCAAGAATATGTTTGTTACCACAAACGAGTAGTGTTTTCATTATGTTAATTAATGTTAACATAATTAATTAATATTATTAATCGATTGAAAGTTAAAAATTGAACTAAAAGATAAATGAAGAATATATAAAATTTCATGTAGTTGGGTTTAAATTATAGTGGAAGACGTGCAGAAATTTGAAGTTTAGAATAAAAGAACATACAAATGCAGTTACTAAATTGAAAAGGAATTATACAGCCTTGGCTGAATATGTGGCGAACTCTTCACATCTCATTGATTAGGACAATGTGAAATTATTTAAAGAGGTGAATTTAAAAAACGAATATAGCAGGGTCATTAGTGATTGTTAGAAATAAAATGATGATTTTGATTAGAGATTTGGTTCCAGGCGCCACGGAATTCCATTTTGTAAACTGCGCCACTGTACAATATATTAATTGTACAAGTACATCATTTACTCTAGTACATAAACGAATCCCAGGTATCCTTCTATGTCTCCTGAAGATAATGGATCATGTTGTCCATCGAAACATATAGAATGTATGGTGTTGTTTTTTAACATTATACAAATAACGTTATTTTCCATGTGGAAACATTGGTGTCGCGATGTTTATTGAAAATATGCATGAGTGCTGTCAGTCTAATGTCCTTACAGTAGAACTTATTGTCTCGTTTAATGCCCTATCTAATATTCACAAATAAACAACAACTATATGAAATGTTAATACTACAGCATTTGTGGTCTCACCTAATGCCCTATTTAATATCCTAAAATGAAGAAAATGAATATGAAATGTTAACACTACAGCATTTGTGGTTTCATCTAAAGTCCTGTTGAATATCCTTAAATGAAGAACATGAACATGAAGTGTTAATACTACAGCATTTGTGGTCTCATCTAAAGTCCTGTTGAATATTCTTAAATGAAGAACATGAACATGAAGTGTTAATACTACAGCATTTGTGGTCTCATCTGATGATGAGACCACAAATGCTGTGGTATTAACATTTCATATTCATGTTCTTCATTTGAGGATATTAAACAGGACATTAGATGACCACAAATTTTATTGTACCAACATTTTACATACACGTTCTTCATTTGAGGATATTAAACAGGGCCAATGCCCTGTTTAATATCCTCAAATGAAGAACGTGTATATAAAATGCTGGTACAATAAAATTTGTGGTCTGACCTAATGCCCTGTTTAATAGCCTCAACTGGAGCACAGGTATGTGGATCAAAACACTCCATTGGCTTGTAGGGCTCGTTGTCCAGGAACCAGCCAGAGTCAACAAGACCTCTAACCTCCACTCCAGCGTTTAGTGATTTCAACGTGTCTGCTACGCGGTCCAGGTTAACTAAAACACCAGCGCCACCAGCACTAAAACAAAAAAATATTTGAAATTGATCGAGTGTGGATGTAAAAAAAAATTCAAAAAGCAGTTATCTATAAAAACATGTGAGGCTATTACGTTGAATAATATGCAAATACTAGACGAAATCAACTAATAATTGAAATGGAAGGACAGAGAAACATCAATGTTACTTAAATAAAACTCGTATAGTTAGAAAACAACTATTATAATCATGAATATGTTCAGTGAGACAAGACAAAGAGGATAATATCATTAATCATCTGTAGAAAGTATTACACTCAATACAATATAAATTCAAGAAGATGCGATCAACCCAGTAATGGTATGTAATACTTATTTACGTAATAATAAGTTAATGTGTTCATTAAGTATCAAAAATAACCAATAAATGACAAAGATACACACCGGATAACAAAATTAAGAAACTATCATAGTGATTGTTCAGTAATAATTACAGATGAACTTTTCTTTCTCCAATAACACCGTACAAATGATATCAAAGTTCGTCAAGAAACACACTGAAGTATCGAACAGTCAAATAACAAAATGTTTTCAATAATTTAATTTTATATCAAAAATTACATTCTTCGGTTTAATTTATCGCAATTCTTGTGATTCATCTTATTAACTTGTTAATCGATTTATGGGATCTTATCACACACCTACTGCCTGCCAAGAGCAACACGTCTCCATCAGAAAGTCCTCTAGGTAACAAATCTTTGATAACTTCAAGTATTATCTGAGCTCCCAAAAATGCAAACGCATCTGAAAAAAGAGGAAGTTATATTTACAGTCCTCCAAGACAAAAAATAACCATGGCATTTCATAAATTTAACTTTTCGGGTTTCTTATACGCTAAATAATGCACATTGTTTTGAACAATATGTGTAATAAACAAAACCCAAACAAACCTATACTATAACAAAGTAAAAAGTCGTAAAATTTCAAACATGATAAATAATATATATACAAGTAGAAATATCGGAACTGGTTTTACAAGTTAATAAATATACCATTACTACGGTATGAGCAAACTTTACAACTGAATAAATATACCATTACTACGGTATGAGCAAACTTTACAACTGAATAAATATACCATTACTACGGTAGAGCAATCTTTAAAACTGAATAAATATACCATTACTACGGTATGAGCAAACTTTACAACTGAATAAATATACCATTACTACGGTATGAGCAAATTTTACAACTGAATAAATATACCATTACTAGTGGCTGGTGATGCTCCGCTCCACGTATCACTGGAACAGTAGGGAATATAACTGTAAACAAATGAATAAAATATATCACAAAATATACTGTTATTACTGGAGTAAAACGTCCGGAACAAATAACACAGGCCTGCGAATTTAAACTTCATAAAAGTTGTTTTGGATTAAATAACAGATTTTTCATAATTCAGTTACGCAGAGTTCAAAACTAATATTCATTTTTTTCGATCACGTAAGGTTTTTTACAAATCGGGAAGAAAAAAACTCTTTCAGTTACGCAGAGTTCAAAACTAATATTCATTTTTTCGATCACGTAAGGTTTTTACAAATCGGGAAGAAAAAAACTCTTACTTAGATCAAATTATTAT